TCTTTCCCCGCCAAACACAGAATTTTCCGTGTTCTCGCTGTTATACGCTTGGGGGCGCTATTACGCATCTCCTGAATGAGTCTAGAATCACTCGATCAAACACAGACCAGGAAGACGCAGAAACCAGCGATCTCGTATGTAAGCATACGTATATGATAAATAATGTGATCATCAACAATAAACAGCATATAAATAATAAACTGCCTAATGCTATAGAGTGAAATGTGGATCCAGAAAGTGTTAAAGGCCTGTGAAGCTTTCGGAGCGCTGATGGAAGCCATCTACTGAATCTTTGCTTTGATAATATTACTGAATATGATCCAGATGTAGTATTTGAGAAAAATGCGATTTTCTCAGCTTTTTGCTCAAAATGTTGCTTTTTTTTATGAAACCTACCTACATTCAAGTGTTTATAAAAAAAGAACGTTTGAAGCTGAAATAAAATAGATTGTTTTGTTTGAAAGTAGAGGGTCTGTTCTTTATTGTGATGTATTGCATGTTCAGATATTCATACAACAAAATATTCTAGGGGACATGAAATGTTAGTGAAAATCCTCAAAAAGGCTGGCCGATGCAGTTTTGGTTCTTGCCACTATCGCCTTTGGCTTGCTTAGTTGTGGACATTTAATATTTGGCAACATTATGGATTGCATTCCTGGAAGTGAACTGAACCGAGCTGATGATGAGGCCACTGCTTTCTCCAGAGCTGCATTAAAGATGAATCAACCTCTCTCCATAACTGATGGACTTTACACAGTTATTAAATGGAGCTGAATCAACAATTAACTGGTTTCAACTGCATGACGACTGTATGCTATTTTTTAGAGCTGTTTTACAGCAGAATTGAATGCTGTTTGCATCACTGAATCACCATGTTATTATTGTACTGTATAAAGCGCTACAGAAACTAATTAATGTGACATTGGTAACAAGCTTTCCTGGCAGATGAGTTTCAATCCCCCAATCAGAGCTTTCCTCTTAAATCCAAACATTTTCAGCCCAGTGATTTACTTAATCTTCACATGCACTCTCTCTGCTACAGAAAAGCAGCGATCATCTTCAAACACTGGCAAACATGTTCAGCGACCTGTATTGAGATGTTCTGATCTACAATCATGTGGTGTGAGCTGCTGTTCTCTGATGTGTGTCACTGCACCTTGAGCTCTTTAGCGCCGCCACTAGCCGCTCCCTGCGAGATCTGCTGCAGCTGCTTGATCCGCTCGCTGAAGTCTGCCACCCACTGGATGACGGTCATGGCTGCGGGGACGGTGTAGCGGCTCCAGCTGCGGGGCAGGATGCCTGCGGAGCACAGCACAGCGCTTCAGTGACCCGGCGCACACAGACACTGATCTGAAGGGTCAGAGGTCACTCCGCTGACTCACCTTTGACCAGGTCGTTGATGAGCGTGCGCAGGTCGTTGGTCTGCTTCTTCTTGCCCTCGCACACATGCACCACATCAGTGAGATCCTGACGCACGTCCTGCAGCATCCGCGAGCCCATCTTCACCTCGCGCTCGAAGAACCGGAACAGAGGATCCTGGGAGGAGCAGAAGCTTGCATGAGGAGTGCTGAAGTTAATCGTGTCTGCGATGCAGATGCAGTAATAGACCATAATCGATTATAGCCTTCTGACATCATTCGCATATGCGCTTGTCACACCAGTATTAAAAAATGCACACATTATTTTTAAAATCCGAGATCTGGGCACATTTTGGAAAAAGCAAGCTCAGTGCAGGAAAAAACCCATGTTCAGAATCGAATCGGAGCTTGTTTTTCCTGCATATGGCAGGTGTGTGTGCTAGAGACAATCGCGGCGGCTTCGTTGCACAGAATATGCGCTGTGTGCATTGCTTGACTTCCGTTATTTCAGTCTTTTACTGTAGATGTGCTTTCATTTCTGCCGTTTGGAATGCAGTACGTATTAGACGCACGAAACTCACGTACTGAGACTTTCACAGCGCTTTGTGTTTGTTTGTTCTGAAGCTCGATCGCAGCTGCGGTTACTTTTATGATACGAAATTAACAGTTATGTTTTCAGAACAGGACAAAACATGGAAATAGATCTGTGCATTACTGTGAAGCTGCCACTGTCTATGATCTCATCAGTAATAATCAAACAGGAAAAAATAAAAACCTATAACTATGATTGTCTGTAAACTCTCAGATACTTAAAGCACTCTTAGGCCTCGTTTACACTGTCAGTTAAATGTGACCTAATTCAGATTATTTTGCTCATATGTGACACAGATAGGATCTGTTCTATGACAGTGTAAACAGGAAAAAAAAACGCATGCATTCGGATATTTCGAGATCGGTTTCAGGCCTCATTCATATGTGGAAATAAATCTGATATAAATCAGATGTGTGCCAATGCGACTGTTATGTAAACAGGCAGATCAGATTTTCTGAGGCACAACTGAAAGAACGTGTAAACGGACAGCCAAAAAAATCAGATATAGGCAACAAATCAGAATAGGGCATCAAGACCTGCAGTGTAAACGAGGCCTTAGATACTGAAAGTACTTTTTGTTTATCACTTGTAATTGTCTTTTTCCCCCTTTATTACTTCAAATATCAAAATGTAGCCATGTGGCGTAATATTGAAAATTGACGATGACGCATCATGACATGTCAAACAATTAATCAAATAAAAGTTTTTGTTTGCATAATATATGTGTGTTCCATGTATATTTATTATGTATATATAAATACACACACATGCAGTATATATTTTGAAACTATTTACATGCATTTACATATCTATATTTATATTCACATAATTTAAATTATAAATAAATAAATTTAATATAAACAACCTATTTTTCTGAAATATATACATGCATGTGTGCATTTATACATGCATAATAAATATACACAGCACACATTCATATATTATGTAAACAAAAACTTTTATTTTGGATGCGATTAATCGTTTGACAGCACTAAATCGTAGACATAATCGTAATCGAATCGTGAAACCAGTGATAATTCACACCCCTAGCTTTCATGAGCCGTCGAAGAAGAAACACTAAGCGTTCAAACTGTGTTTACGACAGCTACGATCTGAACTGCCATCAAGGCAAAGATGGGTATTACTTTTAAATCATGATTATTCACATGATATAAAAACAAAGGTTTCTTCTCGTTTTCTATACAAAGCCTTCAGTAATATGCAATATTTAAAACATTCAAAATGACCGGTAACTATGTTTCTCAAATGAACTGATGCGATGTAAACACTCTGGATGAAAGCGCCCGAGGTCTCTGTGAATGTGGGTCAGCCGGACCAGACTCGGGCCGTACCTTGATGTTCTCCACGGTGCGTTTGAGCGGGCTCACAGACTCCGGGATCAGCTGCAGCCAGTTACGAGCCGTGGTGTGAAGCGTCCTCATCCAGGCCGGCTGCGCGTCAGACGAGGACGTGCTGCGCTGCTTCTTCTCCGTCTCGTACGCCAGATCGTCCTCATCCTCCAACATCTGCATTTTCAGCAGCTTCCCCATCATGTCAATGCCTGAGTGGGAGGAAGGAGCAGCCGCGGGAGCAGGAAGTGAGGTACGGGAGGGAGACGCCCACAGGAAGTGAAGGAGGGAGATCAAATTAACAGCTGGACAAACTTGAGTGTGTTAATAAGGGGGTTCAAGTGCTAAAACCCTGACGAGGAATTACTGGAAGACTTGCCACGGTCTGACGCCGTTAACACTCAGGAATCAGGACAACATTATAAACGAAGCGGAATAGAATAGACTTTAATTATGTGCAGTCACCTAATGAAGAGTTTTGTTTGAAGTTCAGTGATCAACAATTTAATTTGTGTTTCGTTTAGACAGTAGTCAACATTTGAAGTGGATCAAAAAGTTTTCCTAAGACAAGAACACATTTTGGTTTTAGGACCATTTTTGATGAAAGGTTTTGATCCACTTCAAATGTTGACTGGTGTAGTTCAAATATCCAGTTAAACTCAAACCTCGTGTTACTGTGCAGGGAGAAATGACCCCAGAGCACTAACTAGCAGTCGAGCGGTGAAGTGAAAGCGGTGCATCGTGGCAAGTCCAGCATCTGTTGTTGACCAGGGCATCGCTGAGGATGACATGCATCTGAGCAGAACTGAACTGAGAGGAGAAAACAGCATCAAAAAGCGAGGGCCGGTGACATGACGGCAGTGAAATACAGCTACTGGAGGCTGAGGAGACAGAAGGACACCCGCTCCGCTGCGTGCAGCGCTAACGGCTCTAGCGCACGCAACCGAGGAGGTGTGCTCTGATGATGAAAGCCTGTGAAACTGACAGTGACCTCGAGACAGACAGAGAGAAGGAGGCGAGAAGGGTCAGAGTTCAGGAGTAAACACCGTCCTCATGACAGTCCCGCAGACGCTCGTACCCTGAGTAGTGAGCAGGACCTTCTCCGCGTTACTCGGCAGACCCAGCCATGATGGAGTCTGAGTGTCCGGCAGCATCTCCACCCAGTGAATGAACTCCTCACGCCTGCGCCACAGAAACACAGACACACGCTTTATACAGGACAGACCGCTTCAGCTTCACAGAAATAAACAGGAACATAACAGTGCTAATGGTTAGAAATTCCTCAATTATGAAACATGACTCATGAGAGGACTCTGTTCACTGGGGTTGTAAAGATGCGTCACATTTGCCATTATATGGATTTTTGTAGCCAAAATCCAATCTGTGACGTCTGTCTGAGCCGTGCTTAATCTAGACACGTGCCAGTATTCGGTAATGTGATATATCACGATAATGAACGTGCGATATTGTTACCGTAGGCACTTCAAAATACCGTGAATATTTATTACAAATTCAGATTTTTTAAAATGCATTTTAAGAATACTTTTCTCATCAACTGGTCAAATGCACAACAGCTCTGTATGCTGAGTCACAGACGCGTGTGCACTCATGTAAACAAGCACGGATGAGAAGCGCATGGAGGAACAACTGAAGGAGACGCTCTGGATGAATGCACTTTCACTCTGACAGCAGGTGGCGCTGAAGAGCAGAAATGCAGCCGTTACCCTGGAAACCCCAGAAACACAGCAGCTGCTACTTTGTTTCTGAACAGGATTTAAAGGTTTCAAACTTAATAGGTGACATATTTTCAAACTTTTAAATTTTAATGTATTTTTTAACGAAGAATAATAACTTCTGTAACAAACGTTGCTATTGCTCATTGTTAATGTTAACGCATTAACTAATGTTAACTAATGAGACCTTATTGTAAAGCGTTACCTATTGTTCTTTATAATTCTTTTGCACTTTAATCTGTTTGAAACATTTTTTACCTTATACATTTTTTTGTGTATTGCTTCATTGTTCAGTTCTTTTTGTTATAAGAAAAAAGCTATAAAACCTGTTATACTGTATTATGAGACCACTTCTTTGCAATTAAATTTCAAAACTTTAGCAATTATCGCAACATGAAAAGTTGAGACCTAGCTTCACTCATCACTTCTCCATTCACAACAGACAACAGATCCTTTTTTTGCTTGCAAAATGTGGCTAATGTGACGCACCTTAATTTCTCCTGTTTTAAACTTGTTTATTTGACCATTCTCTGTAAAGCTGAACACAACACAGAAAGGTAATGAAACGGGTCTGCGCTGACCGGATCCCGTCGGGCATCTTGATGTCCTTGTGTCCGTCCACTTTGAGCGCCAGCTTGAACTCGCTGTCGAAGCTGCTGGTGGTGAAGAGACGCTCCAGGAAGGTGTTGAGCAGCCGCTGGTCGAACTCGTTGTCGATGCGTCCTCCGTAGATGGACTGGGCCATCAGCGTCCTCAGCGCCGCCCACGGGATCTTATCCGGAGAGATGTTCTGCCGGCCCTGCGGAGAACGACAGACGCTCAGAGCCTCACACACAGATGCAGATACAGCACAACAGACATGAGGAACAGACTCGAACCTTCGCCGTATCGTCCAGCCAGGTGTCCACCGTGTCGCAGGCCGAGCGCAGATCCGACTCTCCGAACTCGTACTTCTTAGACCAGCCCAGTGGAGCGTAACGCAGGCGCTCCTGGATGACGGCGTGGAACCAGGCCAGGAGGAAGTACAAGCGAGCTCTTTCATTTGGAGACTGAGAGAAGAGACCGACAATAAACCACACCAAACACCAGCTCACGACTGCACAAAACCCATTTCAGATTCATCTGAAGATGGAAAATTAACAGTGAAGAGGAAACACTGACTGTAGATATGAATGTATATCACTATACGTGACCTGTGCTGGCAAGATAATTCACAATGAGCAGAGTTAAAGAGCTTTTTTTTTCACATTCTCCATTAAAAGTCCTTCAAAGCACTACACCCGTTCACACAGCTATACCATTTGAGGGCGATAGAGTCAGCAAAGTCAGTTTTGAGAAAAATCGTGTTCAAGTTTTCTGAAGGTTACAAAGAAAAATCACAGAGTAACGCTGCATCTTTTCCTACAATTCTTTTCTTAATCATTACGATATTAATAATCATAATATAGCTTTTTTTTATTTTATCTTTGTAGTTATAAATAGGAACAGATGCAAAATAGAACAAAGAAAGAAGTGTATACTGTATTTTTTGTTTTTAATTTTACATCAAAACAAAAGCATTCAAGTAAGAAAAAAATAATCTAATGTAAAAATCTCTTTAGTGTGTTTATTACAAATAAATTGATTATTAAAACTACAAAAGCAGTTAAATTAAGAACAGCGAGCGATTCCCTTTTCTTTTATCGTTTAATTAACATTAATGAGACAGATGGCTTATATATAAAGATCTACTGTAATGCACGGATCTAATATTATATTCTTTTTCTATTCTATCTGTTTCCTTTTTATTTATTATATAATTTTTGTTTTAAAAACCTTGCTACGTGTACTGTGTTAAGCTAACAGACTTGTTATAGCACTTGCATATCATTGCTCTTTTGTTGATTTTGATTGCTTCTCTTGTCCTCTTTGGATAAAAGCGTCTGCTAAATGACTAAATGTAATGTTACACATCCGATGTTTTTCCCCAAATGTTCACTTAAGACATAACAGATTATGTTTGCGTTAATATTTAAATACTGTAATTCTGTGTATATTTATCGTGAGCGCTTCAAACAGAGAAAAGGTACTCCTCTCAGAAAACCTACATATAAAGATAATCTTAGATGTTTAATTACTATTTGGAGAATTGGGATCGCTAGACGAGAGCTTAATGAACCCATTTTTGTGAAAACCTCAAATTTGACCAAAATCGACATTCTTAACCTTTTTTGTTTTGCCTGTAGCTCAAAATTAGCCCAAGTGCATTCACGCTCATTTTGCCAGCACGGCTCACATGTTATTATGACACGCATCACAAAATGCACATTTTTATCAAAGTGGTTAAAGCTACTGAAAAACAATAGTCCTTATGATGATTTCCTATCACAAATGTCACACAAATCAAGTAAATATGAATCCGCTTCAGAGCACCGGAGATTCAGCGTTGCAGGAATCGCTACTGCGATCACGATACAGACGCTACTGCTTCACTTCTAGCAGTTAGCATGTTCCTCAGGCCGCTCCTCACCTTACACATGCGCGCCACAGGAATACTGCTGAACGTGCGCAGCATATTAGCCTTCACCCCGGGAGGAGGCTCGAACACAAAGATACGTCCGGCCCGCAGCAGGTTCACAGGGACCTGAGGGAGATACGGTCAACATCAGACGTCTCATTCCTCATGACAGGACAGCACACAGTGAGCACAGGAAGTGATGCGTGACCTTGGGGTTGATCTCCATGGTGAGGAAGAGCCGGAAGCAGGCATGCGGCTGCATGGAGTGAAGCTTCTTCTCCAGCTGCATCAGCCAACCGGGAGCCAAATGAACGTTCTCCAGCATCACCCACCTGACACACAAACACACGTCAGATCACGTGACCAGCAGACCTGACCAATCAGGAGTGAGAAGGGTCAGCTGATCTCCTCTCACCTGCCGGACTTCACCGCTGTGTTGATGTCTCTGTCAGCTTTATTGAAGCCTTCGGCAGAACCTGAAGATGGACCACATGTGTTACTTCACTAGTTTAACGGACTATCCAGAAAGACACTACAGCACAGCACTGAGCAGCAGATTCTCTCTCTATCATTTATACTTCTAGCTGGTAGCTGATTTGCAGAAACTGTCACTGGTCAGGCTTTTACTAAGAACCTAATAAATACAACAAAAAAACCCCCTGAAATTTAGAACAGAAAAAATACAATGGATTTTTTAATAGCATATATTGATTTTTTTTTTCACTTTTATGAGTTTTTCTAGACTGTCTAGATGGTTGTGGTCAGTGTTGGGGAAAATTACTTCTAAAAGTAACACATTATGATATTGTGTTAGTCCATGAAAAAGTAGCTAATTGCGTTACTTAGTTACTTTTTACGGAAAGTAATGCATTACGTTTCTTTGGCGTTACTTTTTGTCACCTGGGCTGTGCTTGGTTATTTGTTTTTAACAAACAACCCAAACGTTATATTTTTGGCAACTGTAAAGGCCCTGTCACACCAAAAGTGAAATGAATAATCCTCAGGCTGAAGGAAGAGCCTCTGCACTTACTCCCGATTTCTCTCAACACAGGGTCAGTGAATAAATGGGAAACTGATTTGAAAAAGTAACTCTGCTATTTCATTATAAATGTAAAAGTAATGCATTACTTTACTAGTAACTTGAAGAAAGTAATCAACACAGGCGGTGTACGTGCTGAAGGCTCTTACCGATGGAAATGGAGGTGATGTGTTTGTTCTGCTCAGCTGCGAGATCCCGCACCAATCCGCTGGCATCGTATCCGGGCACGGAGCACATCAGCACCGGCGTCCCCGGCTTCACCTGCACACACAAGCACTAATGCAGCATCTGCAGCATCACAGCATCAGCACACCACAGACACGCATCCCTACCTCACTGTCCACGATGTTGGCCAGGTCAAGCGGCTGTTCCATGATGGCCATGAAGGTTTCTCCCATGACTTTAGACACGAAGATGTGTGTCATGGCCAGCAGACGGTCGGGTCTGAACGCCTGGATCAGCAGCAGCTGGTGGACGGCCTGACCGATCGGAGCTGAGGACAAACAAACAAACAAACGCGTCACTCCTGCAGTCTCTCACAGGGAGCTGCGTGTGAAAACGCTTGAGAAAATGCGTGTGAAAATACATGCAAAAACACTTGTGAAAATGCATGTGAAAACGTGCAGAAAATGTGTGAAAATGCATGCAAAAACACTTGTGAAAATGCATGTGAAAATGTGTGAGAAAATACATGCAAAAACGCTTGCGAAAATGCATGTGAAAACGTGTCAGAAAATGCATGCAAAAACGCTTGTGAAAATGCATGTGAAAATGTGTGAGAAAATACATGCAAAAACGCTTGCGAAAATGCATGTGAAAACGTGTCAGAAAATGCATGCAAAAACGCTTGTGAAAATGCATGTGAAAATGTGTGAGAAAATACATGCAAAAACGCTTGTGAAAATGCATGCAATATACATGCAAAAACGCTTGTGAAAATGCATGTGAAAATGTGTGACAAAATGCATGCAAAAATACATGCAAAAACGCTTGTGAAAATGCATGTGAAAACGTGTGGAAAATGTGTGAAAATGCATGCAAAAACGCTTGTGAAAACGCTTGTGAAAATGTGTGACAAAATGCATGCAAAAATGCTTGTGAAAATGCATGTGAAAACGTGTGGAAAATGTGTGAAAATGCATGCAAAAACACTTGTGAAAACGCATGTGAAAATGTGTGAGAAAATACATGCAAAAACGCTTGTGAAAATGCATGCAAAACCGCTTGTGAAAATGCATGTGAAAATGTGTGAGAAAATACATGCAAAAACGCTTGTGAAAATGCATGTGAAAATGTGTGAGAAAATGCATGCAAAAACGCTTGTGAAAATGCATGTGAAAACGTGTGAGAAAATACATGCAAAAACGCTTGTGAAAATGCATGCAAAAACGCTTGTGAAAATGCATGCAAAAACGCTTGTGAAAATGCATGCAAAAACGCTTGTGAAAATGCATGCAAAACGCTTGTGAAAACGTGGAAAATGTGCGTGAAAATGCATGCAAAAACACTTGTGAAAATGCATTGTACTCACTGGACGTCTTCTCTTCGGTCCACAGGTACGGCACTGACAGCTCCGGCGAGTTGCTCTCGATCCACATGAAGAATTGCTGGAGGACAGAAAGGCATTGCTCATTCAGATGCTCTGCGGTGAAGAACAGACGCGTACAGGACAGACAGACGGAGAGACGCTCACCTCGTCCGCCTGCACTTTGGACACCAGGTCTTTAAACGCAGGCAGACGGCTGAGGCGCACCATGGCCTCGGACTGCTCGCTGCTCAAACCCTTGACTTTCGGCATGGTCGTCCCACTCAGCACGATCTCTTTCCCACGCAAGAAGTGCTGGAACTCTGCGTCGAATGACGGCTCGCTGAGAAACACGAGAGGAAACATCTGAGCTGCACATCCTCAGAAATCAAACACAGCTCTGATCATGAGCAAGACCACGTCTCTCAGCCAGAGTTAAAGCGCTAAAGGCCAGAAATCAGCTTCTGCTCTTTCTGTAAATCTCAGCTCTAATGACTGTAAATCACGGTCCTGTTCTCATCTGATCTGAACACACATTATCACAAACACAGATCACTCTGAGCTTCACTTTAAACTTATTACTAATAAAATAAGGACGTGGAGGACATTAAGCAGAATGTGATTCATTTTCTCACTAATGCTCTGCATTCACACACATACATAGATTTGCAAACTCATGTCAATAAAAGACTTTTAAAAAGAAGGAAAGAACTGAATTCAAGTGGAGATTAACTCCCTTATAAATGAAAAGAGAAATCTGAACATTTTGTTTCTTGATGTTTGTACCTGGTCATGCCCTTCAGGTTGATTCGTGAGAGCAGCATGGCAAATGTGACGTGATCCTGATGCAGCATGCCTCGAGCGACTCTGTTAAACGCCACCTGAACAGAAAAACCATCACACGTCACTAAATATTTCCTGCATAAAGGCCCTTCACAACAAAGGCGATGCAAAAAAAGCAAAACAAAGAACACCACAATGCAGGAGCAGCAAATTTATCACCCTCATTTCAGCAATGAAATAATGAAACAGGTATGATGCTCTTTACTAGTTAAAGCAACTGTAAGTTATTTTTAAATCGTTCTGATTGTTCACCGACTTCTAATACGACGAATGGCGTCTGTTTCTTTCCCAAACGCCTGTTCTGGGAGTGTGTACGCTTGGTGAGCGGGTACAAAACTTGCTTTACAGCAGCAAACAAACACATGTGCACCGATCCACTGTAATCATGCCACTCAACTGTAGGGGGCTTCAAAGTCACAAAAATACACAAATTCATACAGCTGCTTTAACGCATCTGCGGTTATTGTTAAATGTGTTTAAATTCAGCAGCAAAAACACTAGTGAATAGAGTCAGATGGACTGTATCTGCATCATTTAATGATTGCAGGTTTGCATAAAATTAGTTGTTTGTATTTCCCTGTGTGCTTTTATTAACCGAACAAGAAAAATGAATCCGTTTTTGTGCGACAGACGGGAATCTGCCTCAGTCTGGACTCTTCCTCCGTGCTGAACATTTGTGTTTGGTGTGAAAGGCCTTCAGTGCTCACCTGGAACAGGTCTTTGGTGATGTGAGACAGACGCTGTGTGTGGTCGCTAACGCTCTTCAGGTTGGAGTTCTCGTATAACACAGTGTGGTAGATGTCCAGGAATAACTGCAGCGAGTACTGATACAGGAAGTGCATCTGTGAAAGAGACAGATCCAGCATGAGCCAGAGTTCACACGCGCGCGCACACACACACACACACACACACACACACACACACACACACACACAAACACACAAAGAG